GGGTGATTTTCCATTAGGTAAAGTAGTTTGTTTTGGAATCATTCCCTGAGAATTGAATTTCAGGGGATGGGAGTCGGGGGGATTCTTGGACTGCCTCCTCAAGTTGGCATCTAACGCAGGAACACTTTTGATTTGTAGTAAAGTGAAGGAGGAGATGAATTGGGATCAGATGATGATACCCTTGCTCCAGCTAAGTAACACCTTGCTCCCATTGCCTGCAGTGGGACTAGCCAAGGAGTAAGGTGCTACTCAAGGTGCGTAAGTTAATGTGTGAATCTGTCCCTTAATTCAATGGCTCTCAACCTTTCCAGACTACTGTACCCCTTTCAGGAGTCTGATTTGTCTTGCACACCGCCAAGTTTCACCTCACTTAAAAACTACTTGCTTACAAAATCAGACATCAAAATACAAAAGTGGCAAAGCACACTATTACTGAAAAATTGCTGACTTTCTAATTTTTACCATATAATTATAAAATAAATCAATTGCAATATAAATTCCACTTACTTATATTGTACTTACATTTCAGTGCATAGTATATAGAGCAGTATAAACAAGTCATTGTATGACATTTTAGTTTGTACTGACTTCACTAGTGCTTTTTCTGTAGCCTGTTGCAAAACTAGGCAAATATCTAGATGAGTTGATGTACCCCCTGGAAGACCTCTGTGCACCCCAGGGTACGTGTGCCACTGGTTGAGAACCACTGCCTTAACTCTCTCCCGCCGTTAAGGTCATTATATGATTTTTCACTCTTTCTCCTTGTCCCTCGGCGCAGGCTCGGTGTTCAGATGGAAAGGAGGTGGGATTAGATGTTTGGCTGCATGTGTGTGTTCTCTCTGCGTGCTGCACTGACAGCCTGTACTCCGGGCTCCGATTGAACTGCCCAATAAATACACAGACTTCGTTTTTAGCGAAGGAACTTGGTTAGGTTTGTTGCCGACGAAGCACGGTGCTAATGCCCTGGCACAATGGTTACAGGTACGCTAACACATGTATGCTTGTGGCAATGGACCGGCTCAGGCAGTGGTGGGACTTTCCACTGTTCCCTCGGCCAGACAAAGACACTCCCTTCGAGACTTTATTTTATATGTTAATGCAAACAAGTTACGTACTGCCCCTCTGACGTAGTTAGTGCCACCCTCTGACGTAGTCCGTTACCACCCATCGCCTTGTGCATTTGTATTTATTACACTGTCATCCTGACCTTATCTCTAAGATGGGTCAGCATGTTCCTGTTATCTGTGGGGAATGTGCTGGTATCGAGCTGTTCTGGTACCACCCTTCTGGAATGTATCTGCGTGAGTGCTCTGTGCCTAGTACGTAGGGTTGCCAAGCCTCCAGGATTGTCCTGGAGTCCCCAGGAATTCAAGATTAACCTTTAATAAAAGATGATGTCATATGATGAAACCTCCAGGAATTCATCCAACCAAAGTTGGCAACCCTACTAGCACCTCTTAGGAATGTGTGTTTTTGCAATATTAGCCCTGTTCTTGCCAGATTCTGTGAGCAGGGCCTGCCTCTAGCTCACAGCCTGACTTTGCTTTATATTAGCAAAGCTTTGACCACTACTTTAGCCTAGGCCTCAGGCCTCATACCAGGCCTTTGATACAAGGGCTTATGTCTCATGCTCTCTTCCTACTACATTCCCCCACTTTTTGTCTTTTTATGGGGTGGACATTTACCCATCGTCCTGGAAAAGCATAATGAATGGACTGAAGATGACCCAGTGGGCTAAACACTGTTATGTGGTCACCTTACTTTACCATTTACACATTCATGCCCCATCTGTTCCTTGGTTTGCACATTTGTTTGTACGACTGATGGACAGATTTTATTTTCCAATTATGTGTCATTTTTTATGGTGGGCCTGGGAATGTTAGGCCCAGGACTTTGATTGAGGAATGTAGTTTTATAATCGCTATGGTATTGTGGTTTGGCCCAGATAGCTACACACTCCTATTAGGGCATTTACTGTTGCCACCTCTATTATTATTATTGGTAATAGGCTGAGTGCTTTGAAATTCTGGGATAGGTATTATAACTGTGAGTTTTACAGTGCTAGGAATGTGAGAAGTAAAAGAAATGTGGAGTATTGGCATTACAAATGAGGCCTTTCCTATACATTTTTGTAATTGGTTGCTACACAGTACTGTCCATTCGTGTTATAGGTTACCCTTCCTGCTGGTTGTTACCCTTCGGTAAGCTTTACTGGGCAGGAAACAAGAACAGCTAGCTTCTCTGTTCCATTGGTTGCATGGCTTCGTGATACGCCAGTAGTTGACATAGATACAGTTGTTTCTTATGGATGCTATTTTTTAGATAACCTACTGAATGGACAGTAACCGATTTGTTAAATATTGCTGTGCCAGGATTTAGTATCAGTGCCCAGACACTGAACAAGACTGTTTTGAATAACATGTGCCTTACTTAGGATGCGTTGTCATGGACCCCAAAGTCTGACTGGTACTACCAGGGAATTTTTTTACCCAATTTGAAGTTACTGCATAACGTAATTTTTTTTAACCAATTTGGGTTTAGTTTTTTTTGCCTTCATATTGTTTGCTGCCATTTATTTGTTGATTTTTTTTTTTTTTTTTACTTGTGTGTTGGTTAAACAGTTTAGCAATGTTACGCACATTGTAAATGTTGTACAGCAATAATACAACAACACAGCAATAAGACAGTTGCTTTTACACAGTAGCCAAATTTAAATTAAATGACAGTTTAACCTGGTTCAGCTAGTGGTTTCTAGCTGATTGCCAACTTAATTGTTCATACACCTCTACCCCGATATAACGCTGTCCTCGGGAGCCAAAAAATCTTACCGCATTATAGATGAAACCGCATTATATCGAACTTGCTTTGATCCGCCGGAGTGCGCAGCCCTGCCCCCCTGGAGCACTGCTTTACCGCGTTACATCCGAATTCGTGTTATATCGGGTCGCATTATATCGGGGTAGAGGTGTATATGGTAGACTGAGGTGTAGATGGCCAGTTTTTTATTTATACTTTATTTTTCTTTTCTTGATGCTTGGGGGTTTCTTTACTGTGTATTGATATCTTCTGATGTCTTTGAGGTGTGATATTTTTTGGGAGGGGGGTTGGTCTGTGGGATGCAACCCTAAATAGCTTAAGTTAGTTAACATCATAACGTTTTTTGTTTGTTTTACATTTTTCTTGGTTTTAGTAACCCAGATTTAATGCACGTATTAACGTAGTGTGTTTACAATGCAATAGGGACCAAGCTTTTTATAACGCAAGCTATACTTTTGCAATTGTTGTATAGACATTCATTTTTCACTTGAGGTGCATTACTGATATTTTATGTACTAAATATAATGTTTAACTGCTTAAATTGATGCTTACATTTTTTTATGAGAAGGTGTGTGGCTTTCCCCTGCTGAGCTTTGTTTTAGCAAAAGAGGTAATGTTCGAATTTTTCCCCAAGCTTTTTAGAGTTAATTTGCTTGTGATACCAATTTCACTTTTGTTAACTGTTTAGAGGCACAAATGTTAACCACTGCTTTCCTTGAACATAACTTAAAAGAGAATGAAAATGAAACCAAAATGAATTTTAAATACAGGTTTATGCAAATATTTTGAGAGTATTAAATTGATGACACTTGGTTGTGTTTGGGAGACAAAGGTGGAAACCTGTTGAAATTGTTTGGTTAGCTTTATGCATAAATTGGTTGTTTTTTTTAACATTTTTCTATGATGTTCTTATGACGATATATTTAATAAGGTGCAAACAAGTTTATAAAAACCGAAATAAGAAATTGACATTTTGCTAATATTACTTTAATATTGAGGTTTCCCTTACATTTGTTTTGTTTTGTTTGTTTAAATCAAAAACTTGTGATTAGGTTGGTCCTGGGGCCAGGTCTACACTACACACTAACATTGGTATAACTACGGGATAAATCCACACCCCTGAGCACCGCAGTTATACCAACCTAGCCCCCAGCGTAGATAGCACAGGGCTTCTCCTGCCGACATAGTCACTGCCTCTCGCGGAGGTGGATTAACTACACCAACGGGAGAAGCTGCAGCATTTTACGGTCATCTCTGCCAGGCAGACTTTGGCTCATGAAGATACTTTGAAGAACAGCGGCCAGAGCCTTTGCTGGTGTAAATCGATGTAGCTCCATAGAGTCCAATGGAATTATGCTGATTTACACCAATCAAAGAATTGGCCCCAAATTTTCCTGACCAGGACTTTAGTCCGCATCTGCTCTAGTTAAGCTGGAAGAACTAGACAGTGGGAGAGTTTGCAGAGGGACAGAGGAAATAGCTTGGGATGATTTCAGGGTGCAGCCAGGCTTTGAAACCCAGCTCTGGAGAGGGTATCTGTGCTGAATGTTTTTTATCAGGGTGTCTAAGTCATTCAGATCTCTCTATGCGGCCCGTACTTAGCTCTGTCCACGCTCATGTCTTTCTCTCTCTTTCTCTCTTTTTTTTTTTAATCCCCCTTTACAGACAGAGAAGCTCAAGATCCATTCAGAGCCTAAAAACTAGTCCGCAGAAATGTCTGTGAAGTGAGCCAGTTCCCAAGCACAAGCTCAAGGGATGGTTCGAGGCCTGTCATGTCTCCTCTCTAATGTTTCCTCCCTGTGACCCTCTTCGGCAGAGAGATGCCTAGTTCTGTGCCTGCTCCCGCCAGCCCAGCCTTCTGTTGGTGACACACTCTTGCTGTCCCAGTGAAGGTTATCTGGGCTGCTGGCGTCATTACCTTACAAAAGAGAGAGAGAGAGGAGGGAGGAATGAATGAATGAAATTATGCTGGCGAAGACAGAGCTGGAACTGATGTGCAACGACTGATGCTCTGCAGATTTTGCAACAAGGCAAGTCATTCCAGAGCCAACAAGTTCCTCCTTGCAAGCAGAGATAAGCTGTGCTCTCTTCTCAGCCGCTAATCTCTCTGCTCAGCGGTGGGCTAGTCTGTGCTCAGTGGGTCTAGAGGGCTTGGGCTGCAGGCTAGAAGACCAAGGGCTACAATGGAAGAGAATGTGTTCAGTGTGCAGCAGATACAGCCCAATGTCATTTCGGTGAGACTCTTCAAGCGCAAGGTTGGGGGTCTCGGGTTCCTGGTGAAGGAACGCGTCAACAAGCCCCCAGTAATCATCTCCGACCTGATCCGGGGAGGGGCAGCTGAGCAAAGTCGGCTCATCCAGGCTGGGGACATTATCCTGGCAGTCAATGGCCGGCCCCTGGTGGACATGAGTTATGAGAGTGCCCTGGAGATCCTGAGGAGCATCGCCTCAGAGACCTATGTGGTTCTGATCCTGAGAGGTCCCGAGGGCTTCACCACTCATCTGGAGACCACCTTTGCCGGTGATGGGATGCCAAAGACTGTTAGAGTAACCAGACCTTTGTGCCCAACTGCCAAAGCGGTCGACCTGTCCAATCCAAGCATCCACGGCAGAGATCTGCAGCAGGGTGCAGACCATACCATGGGCTCGGCTAGTTCAGCATGGGCCAGGGAGAACGGGCAGGAAGCAGAGTCCCTTGTGCACGTCAATGGTGTGGTTACCAGCACCAAAGGCGAGGACTCTTTGAAGGGAAGGGACAATGCCAGTGCCAATCCTTGCCTCAACGGTGGGGTCGAAAACAATGAGCTGCTAAAAGAAATAGAGCCAGTCCTGAAACTCCTGAAGAGCGGCAGTAAGGAACTCAACGGAGACGCGCCAACCAAGGTGGAGACAAGAGATATAGAAGTCCAGGTGGACTGGTAAGTACCTACATACATTTTTTACCTTTGGTATAGGTTATGGTGACACAAGTCAGATGGGTTTGGTGGGGTCAGGTTAGAGCCTTCTCCAGGTCACAGACCTATTGCCCACTAAGGCTTGATGGTCAGGAGAGAGGAGGAGGGAAAGAGAATGACAGCTAGAAAGGGAAAAGAGAGAAAATGTGGGAGAGGGAAATGGAGGCAAGAGGAGGACAGATGCGTGGGGGAGAAAACAAGAAGCGGGCAGGAAGCATGGGAGAACGGAAAGGGGAGAAAAAGGAGATTGGAAGAGGACAAAGGGATGGGGAAATAAAATTCCACGGATACCGGAGCTAGCAATGTGGTATACCAGATTGGGTACTGGACAGGTATACGGCACACCTAGCTTCTATTCCTGGTTCTGCCACTGACATGCTGCATGACCTTAGGCAGAGTTCGGTGCCTCGGTTTCCCCATCTGTAAAAAGAAGCCAATGATATTGGCCCTCCTAGTACAGTGCTTTGAGTTTTGTTCATAAAAGATGCCATATAAGAGCTAAATCTTTTATTATTACAACCCAAACCTTCCAGAAGGGAAGCTCAGCTTGCTGTGAATGATGCTTCTCACAGCCACTGTATTTCAAAATGCTCTATGCCTGTTCTGCCACCCAGACCCAGCTGCTAGACGTCCAATCCTGCTCCTACAGAAAGCAGTGGGAGATTTCAGTGAGAACAGGTTTGGATCCTAGATGTGCAGCTCTGCTTCTCTGGTTTTACACAAGCAGGAGAAATGCGATAAGCCGAGAGTCTTTAAAGTGCCCCCGAGAGCTTGAAAAACTACATTTCACTAGAATGTAATTGAGGAGCTGCGTAATTCCCCCCCTGTGTTTTTAATTGTTGTTAATTGTTCTGGTGTTTGTGCGCTCACAGGAGCAGGCTCCTTCCCAATTAGCTCTCTCCTCCTGGCCATTTATTAGCAGTGATGCATTGCCGTTTTCTAGTCCCTTTCCCCAAGAATCTCAAAGCATTTTACAAACATTTTGGGTACATCTGCCTAGCAAAACCAACCCCAAAGCAGTGAGTCTCAGAGCCCGGGTCAACCGACTCTAGCTCGAGGGGCTTGTGCTCTGGGGCTAAACATAGCTGTGTAGAGATTCCCGCTCAGGCTGGAGCCTGGGCTCTGAAACCCAGTGAGGAGAGGGGGTGTCAGAGCCCTGATGCCTACAAATGCTACACTGCCAAATGTCTACACTGCTATTTTTAGCCTGGTAGCATGAGCCTGAGTCAGTTGACCTGGGCTCTGAGACTCACTGCCACTGGGTGGTTTTTGCCGTTTGGATATACTCTGAGTCTGCCAGCCCCCCCATGAGGTGATGGTTGTTAGTTTACACCTGGGGAAACTGAGGCACGGAGCAGTGACGGCCACTGTTTTCAGAAGTGGCAATCTGAGTGTTTGGGGACATGGCTTGAAATGCCGGCGGGCCTGATTTTCAGAGGTCCTGAGCATCCTAAATTCCAGTGTAGTTAGTGGGATCTGCAAGGGCTCCACACCCCTGAAAATGAAGTTGTGGGTGTCTCAGGTTGCGCACTCAAAAACAGAAAGATGCAAAACCAGCAGTCACTGTTGGAAAACTGTTGACCTAAGGGAGTCACCAGCATCACGGAGAAAGTCAGCGGCAGAATCAGCAGCAGTGGAACCCAGGAATCTTGACACCTATATGCCTACTTGACCTGCTAGACATCAGTCTCTCTACGTCCCTCCTTTGTTCGCCACAGTGACAACGCAGCAACTTCTGTGGAATGTACTTTGATGTCACAAAGACTCACTGTGGTATTGCTGAAGAGGTAGGGAAGGCTGATTGTAGAGGAGACAGCCCCTGAGCATAAACCCAATGAATGGCTTGCCATGCTAGGAAGGCAATAAGCCAGGGTGAATCCGGCACTTATATGAGAGTTGGCTGGTGAATTAGTCTAAGTTTGAAAGTTGCAAGGGTTGGGAGCAGGGCAGTGGAGGGGGAAGAGACAAAAGGGACTGGAAAGCCACAGAGCTGAAAGGAGCCGTGTCCTTTTAATAGTATCTAAAGGAAGTTGAAAATTTTCTGTAAAAATGGTTTAAGGAAAACTGTGGCTTTGAAACTTTTGAGAACAGTATCGGCTTTCTGTGGTAAATGTCAACTTTTTGACAAAACACTAACCTGAAACCAAAAAATATTTCTACCTGGAAATGCCCCCGTGGTGCCTCCTGGGCTGTCTCATGGCTCTGTTCTCCTCTCTGGCTGGGTTCACTAGCTGGAGTACTCGACTCATTTTCTGCCCAAAAAAAAAAAAAAGTCCAACCAGCTCTAATAAACTCCACAATAAAACATGCGTGTTTTTTTTAAATGCTGAATCGGTAGGTTTCATGCAGAATCACGGTGAGGGAAGGTGAACGGCTTCAACTCTCCGGCTTATGAAGAGAGGCCAAAGAGCAGAGAGAGCCGTCTCATACTTTATTCCCGAGGGTCCTGAGCCTGTGAAACGCTCAGCCCCACCTGCAGCAACGTACTAAGAACCCTCAGGTCTCAGTGAAGTCCTTGGGAGCTGAGGGTGCTCCAGTCCTAGCTCCTCCATGGAATCTGTCCTAAGCAGCTGTCCCAAGAACCAGCAAGAATTAGTGGCCTTGAAGAAGTTAGTGTTTAACTACACCTGAAAGAGCACACTAGCATCCTTGGGGAAACTTTAAAGTGGCCTCTGGATTGAAACTCTGGCCCAGGCTTCACTCAGAGGCTAATCTAAGGCTGAGAGGGAGCATGAAGCCCTGTAAGAATGAAAAGGGCAGTGGCATAATTCACTGCATTGTGGGTAAAATACTGGGGCGCGGTGATGCTAGTGGTTTTAGACAGACATAGAAGAGCAGAAACGCTGCAGGGAAACCGGCAGAGAGCAGCTCTGTGCGTCAAAGAGTGTTTTCACCCTCAAGAGAGACGTGGGACAGTCATCCCAATCCCTACTCACCACTACACTGGGCTGAAGATGGTCAACTCATTTCCTGTGCTATTTGCTCTGTCTAAAACAGGGCTGGTGCATTGGGGAGGCCTGATCATACGGAGAGAGACACTGGGACAAGCCCAGAAATCCCAGGGAGACTGGACAGCAGGATAACTATGGATTCTGCAGTGGCAGATGCCATTGAAATGCCTATAAAACAAGTAACCCTTAGAAGAATTAGATAGTGGTTAGGTGCAGCTGTGACACCTTGGGCTGTGACCTCTTCAGACCTCCAGTTGGGCCTAGTCAGAGTGGGAATGGGAGATCTCCAGGTGAATCCCAATTATTGCAGGTCTGATGTTTGCCCTTTTGTCCGAGGTCAGTACTGAACATATGCCTCCATATGGCGTTAAGGATGTTAAAGAGGCCATCTTTTGGATAAGAGCTAAAGCTGAGGTGCCGACCACTCATGGTCACTAAAGGTCTGGTGGTACTTAGTCTCAGAGTGAAGGTGTTAGTCTCAGCTAGAATCTAGTGTGAGTAACTGTGTTCTGCCTACCTAATTCCCCCCCTGCCTTTGTAACTGGGTGCCGTGTTGTTCTCTTCCTGAACCATTGTGTAACATTGCACATGTTGTTAAGAGGCTGCTGCGTGGTCCAGAGATGGCGGTATTTCAGGATAAAGCCAGTTCCCTTTTGCAGAGCTTTGGGGACTCTTTGGAAGAAAAGGAATGGTGCAAATGTGGAGTTTATTAATAATGGGTCAAGTAGTGAGGGTCTTGCTCAGGACAGTCTCCCTCTGAAATCAGTGAATGTTTTTCCTGAGTAAAAAGTGAGTAAGAACCTCAGGGTTTTGACCCACTACTACAATATCATATGTAAGTGTAATACCGAAAGACCCTGGTCATCAGCGAGCGGGATTGAACCTGGGACCTCTGAAGCTAAATGCATGAGCCTCTACTGCATGAGCTAAAAGCCACATGGACTTTAGCTAAGGCTGTAGAGGAGACTCATTAATCTCTCTCTAAGTGGTCTCAGTGCCACTAGATGGGCCAGAACACCACACCCAGGAGGTGTGTGGGTTACATAAGGGATACAAGAAGTCACTAAGACTGCACCTGGCAGAAGGTGGCTAAATTGCATCCTAAGCTTCCTTGATCTGTATTCACCTGGGAAGATGCCTCAGATATTAGATACCATCCATCCACTGCTGTTTTCTGGATACATGCTCGCCCTGTGTATTTGCCGTCTGTCCTCAGGGTGGGCTATAACCACAGCTGAGTGTGCGCTGTTCGGGGCAAACCAGCTGTAATGGAGTTAATATAAAAATATACCCTGGAAGTGGGGAGAAAGGTCTGATGAGAAGCAACCTCTTATCTAACAGGGTCTCAGCAGGCTACAGGGTAGAAATAGAGCACAATTCATTCGTTGCCAACTAACCTTGTTCTATTTTTGACCCTCAGCCGGAAGAGAATTGTCACATCCCATTTCCTTTTCATGTTGCCAGCATTTATATTGTTTAACCCTCTGGGTTGTTGTTTTTCCTTTTCCCTCTAAGGCCCATTCCTTAGCTAGATAGAAACATGGCAATTTTAGGCAGTAACGGCCTAAAGAACAGTAATGCCACAGTAAGAGGTAGACTGGTGTGGAGGATGGAAGTTGTTTTACAAAGGATTTTGCAATCTGGCGTCATTCTGTACCCGAATGAAACCCAACATTTTTTAAGTTCTCCATGAAGGAAAATTCTGGAAAAAGAAAATCATTTGGGGAGCAATCAAAACATTCAGATTTTGACTTTTTCATTTTGTACTATGATATACATAATATTATGAACACATTTTAAAAAAAAAATTTAAAAACAAAAAATTGAAACTCTTCTTTCTGGAAGTATTGAAACAGGACGTTTCGAGGTCAGAATGGCTTTTCTGGTTTTCCTCTCAAACTAAATTCCAGTATAAGTTACTCACGTTCGTAAAGTGTTTTGATTTTGAATCTGACAGAGTATGGTTCTGTTGAAGTTTCACTTACCGGCCCTAAGAAGGCAGACTGCTTAGGA